GCAGCTTGCAAATGTTCGTCTCTGACCGCGAGCCGGACGTCTTCTACCGCCGCCATCGTGCTGCCGACGTTCCCCAGTTCCACGTGGCGGATCACCGTGTCTCGCGCTGACGTCAGCGTGCCGAAGTCGATCTCATCCGCCATTGAGACGACGCCACCTGGCGACGTCGTCAGGTCAATCGGCAGAAGCAGGTACTCGCAGTCGCAATCCGCGTGCGCCTCGACTTTAAGAAAAATACTTAGCGACAGCCTCCCCACATCTCCGTGAACCGCCTCTATCACCAGCACCTCCTCTGTTCCCCCTGGCTTCACTGTAATATCACTCCCTATAGCGTCACGCAGGTACGACCACGTGTCGTCTTCCATTCCCAGCTCCACCCCTCCAACCGTAATCTTCACCTCGCTTCTAGAACCGGGCGGAAGCTCCATTGGGCCGTCTTCCCCCGATATAAACACATCCACTTTGGATTGTACGTCGGTGATTGTAACGGGCCACGGCATTGTGTTCTGCATCCAAACGGGGTGAATAATTCGCTGTCCAGGCAACGTTCTTAAACTCGTTCTCGGTTCCAAGCTAAACGGGGACGGGAGACCGTAACCGAACAGCGGGATGACGATCGGCCCTGCGCTAGTCTCTACCGTCAGATTCCCGTCAATAGTTCCGAGTGCCCGGGGCAGGAAAAAAAGACTGATGAAACTAGCCGACCGAGGCTTGATAACGAACTCGTCGAAACTTGCCATGTAGCTCGCCATATAGAAATCGAAGGAGCTGCTTGTAGCGGATTCGATAACCAGCTCTCTATGACGCGACAGATTAATGATCCATAGCGTGTGCGGCGTAGTCGTACACGCGTATCGAGCGCCCCAAGACAGCAGCGTAGGGAACGTCCTAACCCCTCCCGGAAGTTCCCATAGCGACGGCGTATTTAGATCCGCTTCGAACATCGCCAGCGCACCTTCCGGCGCGTTCGGCGGCAGGCTGATGTCACCTAGCCTAGGATAGCTAGAGTCACTTTGTCTCGCCGATGCCCCTCCGGAATTCTCAACAGGTGTGGGGACTGCAGGTGCTGCGGCTGCTGCGGATTTCTGTCGGTTTTTTATTTTCCCCTTCGCTCGCTGGGGCTTCTTCTCTCTTGTACCGGCGTCTGCATTAGGTAAGTCTCTCGGACTCGTGTCTGTGCTATGTGGTGTTTGCGGGTCTAAGGCGGAATCCGGGGAATGGGCGCCTCCTAAAGGTTGCAATGGCGGTGGCGGTGACGATTGTCGTATGTGTAACGAGCCGTCCGTTCGCGACTCTTTTCGCGAATCGCCGCCTGCCTTCGCGGCGAATGTCGCGGAAGCAGAGCCGGAGAAGGCGAGGCTGTTGATGCTTGGACGAGCTGCTTTCGACGAATCGCGTGCGTAGGTTGCTGCTTCGGAAAGAGAGACCTGACGGTCATTATCGGCCCGGAGCGCACCGGTCAGGAAGACGAATATTACAAACAGAAAAAACTGACTAAATCGAGAAATAGGTCCAACGGATGGAGCGCCGGAATGCACGGAGGACCTGCCGTAGTGTTCACGCATTAAGAAACATCGCATACAAGATAAGAAAAGAACAACGGCACACGTCATGGATTGAAACGTTACAGAAAACGTAGTGGAATGAAAGCGGAAAAGGCGTCATCCAAAGCATCCAGGCTTACCTGTAAAGCATCGCCATTGGAATGCGGTTGGATCCTACAACAAGAATAAGACGGGTGTATCCAGGTTTGGTGAGCACTAAGAGCAACACTACCTAGTCTAGGCCTCAACTTAGGCACAAGCTGTTTCTAACAACGTGCAATAGATTCAACAGTAACTAGATTCTAGGGCACAGGATATGGCGGCCAAAGACAAAGAACCTAGCGCGAGGGAGGAAAGGAGAGAGAGGGGAGGAGAGGAGGAGATGAGGGGAGGAAAGAGGTGGTGGGGTTTCGGGTAAATGGTCCAGAAGGAAAGGCGGAGTGCGGAAAAATGGAGGGGAGAGGGTGGGAGGAGGGAACGATAGGGCGTTTGGGGAAGGGGGGAGCTAATGGCGTGCGGTTGGGTGCGCTTGCCTTTCCCGCACGCCATGATAACGAGTGGTACTGTAATGCGACGTGGGTTTTTCTGGGCAGGCTGAAACGTTTGGGCAAGCAAGGTTTCTGGAAACTTTTGCTGCAGATAAGCGTGAATCAGTCTGCACCCTCGATGTGGTGTGAATGCCAGAATGGCCGCTTATCGGACGAACACGAAGGAGTCATGTTACAGAATGGTTGATTCAGATGAGATAGGATTCTAAAGGATGTTTAGGGGCTGCCTCACCATTGGATTATAAATGAATGGTTTACGTGAGCCGTCGATCCTCACTGTGTCTGCCACGTTCGTCATGATTGCGGTTGATGGGTTCAGGCCGAAACTCACGGGTCTGCTGCGTCGGGCCAAAGCCAATTTGCAGCAACACCACCATCAACTATGTGTTAGATTTATCATGTACAGTAATAATGTATAAAGTCTCTAAAAGTATTACAGCATTGCAAATGTACACTCACGCCACAATCTTGGAACTCCATACGATTTCCCGCCCTGCTTACCATTTCGCCATCGCTGCTGACGATGTTTTGATTTGAATTCGCCAGACAAGCCCGCCAAATCGCCGAGCTTCAAGGTCAGGGTGTTCGCGAGAACTGGCAGGCACTCAGCAAACTGCACCGAGGTTCCAGTTTCCACACGGGCGAACCGAAGCTCCAGTTTGCTCCAGACCAAAACTCCAGGGAAATTATACGCGCAGTCACAATTTAGGCCGTATTATCACGTTTGGTCTCGGGGTTATCACGGACAGTCACAGTACAGTACTTCGCTATCACGTGTGATCACAGCGCTATCACGCGTGGTCACACCTCGCCCCGCAGGGTTATCACGTTTGGTCACTCGTTGAAACGCCCGCCAAAAAGTCGAAACTCTCAAATCTACTGTACAGATTCGGGTACTATTATCTCGCGCGCGTTTTGTCTGTAGCGAAAAACGTGATATGACTGTCGAAATATACTCGGACCTTGTTAGGGACCGATGCAGTTTAATGCACAGTCCGCATGTTGCAGTGAATACAAGCGATCAATAACAGTTTCGATTATACATTTAGTTTAGGGTGTGCATTTCATCCATAAAACAAAGACATGGGTTTAGGTCGAATGATTTAAAAAGTGAGAACATTGAAATCATTAGAAAACCATACAACAATCTGTGGCATATGATTCTTTAGTGGGGACTACAAATTTGAGTCCCCACTCAAGAATCATATGCCACAGATTGTTGTATGGTTTTCGAATGATTTCAATGTTCTCACTTTTTAAATCATTCGACCTAAACCCATGTCTTTGTTTTATGGATGAAATGCACACCCTAAACTAAATGTATAATCGAAACTGTTATTGATCGCTTATATTCACTGCAACATGCGGACTGTGCATTAAACTGCATCGGTCCCTAACAAGGTCCGAGTATATTTCGACAGTCACATCACGTTTTTCACTACAGACAAAACGCGAGCGAGATAATAGTACCCGAATCTGTACAGTAGATTTGAGAGTTTCGACTTTTTGGCGGGCGTTTCAACGAGTGACCAAACGTGATAACCCTGCGGGGCGAGGTGTGACCACGCGTGATAGCGCTGTGATCACACGTGATAGCGAAGTACTGTACTGTGACTGTCCGTGATAACCCCGTGACCAAACGTGATAATACGGCCTAAATTGTGACTGCGCGTATAATTTCCCAAAACTCCAAGCCCCCTCTCGCAACGCCAGAACAGGTCTCAGGTCCGGAAAGCTGGTTCGGAAATCGTATCGCCATAGCCTGGTTTTCGAATCCAGATTCAAACCTCCTAGGAGAACCTCGAGATTTCCAGCCTATCTGACGGTTTTCCATTTCTTCAGGGACGTCGAGTCGAGTTCCTCAGCATAGACCAGTCTTCGCCTTGACCTCAAACTCTAGCTCTAGCTTCAGCTTCAGTTCAAGAGATCCGCAATGCGAAATCTTGGTAATGCCTGCTGCACACGACCCTAGAAAGTATCCTCTCTCTTTTATATGTTTTCTCGTCAGCAGTTACACTTCGCTGTCTTCGTTTTGCAGTTTCATTCCTACCTTCTTCCAGTTTCGCTAACTTGAGAAATGGCGCGTCCCGGAGATAGCATAGAGAAATGGCTAGCAGCCGCGCAAGAAAAGCAATCTCCAAGTCAGAATGGGCCAGCAGAGCGGTCAACGGCAGCCACGGCAAGCTCGCTGCGTAGTAACTTATCGTCTACTTTCAACCGAACCTCGTCCAATCCCGACCCTGCATCCGCTGGCGGAGCAAACTCTGGGAAGGATTTGAAAAGTTCGAGCTCATTGACCCAGCAGCTGGAATCACGTTCGGTATTGCCACCCGCCCCATCTTCCGAACCAAGAACCCGAACCTACGGAAGCAGGCTCGGGGGGGACTTTTCGCCTGCAGACAACTCCTCCTATAGTGCGAGCATCAGGGAAAATATCACCTTCGCTAGAGGGACAGACTCTGCTCGCGGTGACGTGGCGCCTGCAGACCGCTTTACTCAGCCAACCCGTGCCGACGTGGCACCTCCGTCCAGTACGGGTGGATCATACGTGGCATCCAGCAACCAGGGCTATGGCAATGGCGGCGCGGCTCCTGGCGGAAAAGCCAATCAGTCAATCTCCAACGGCAGCGTCGGTTTAGGAGGCGGTGGTGGCAGCGGCGGCGGCGGCGGCGGTGGTGGCAATGGGATTGGCAGAAGTCCGTCCGGTACTTATTTCTCCGCTACTGCTCTTTCGAATCGCTCTCAGGGCAACGGCAGTCCTCGCAACTCTAGCGAGAACGAGAAGCTGTACGAGGCTTATAACGAGTTGCACCGCTTAGCGCAGCACTTTCAGAAGCCGTTCGATGCGCCAGCTGTGCTGATCGTGGGGCATCAGACGGACGGAAAGAGCGCGCTGGTCGAAGCGCTGATGGGGTTCCAGTTTAACCACGTGGGCGGGGGGACGAAGACGCGCCGTCCGATCACGCTGCAGATGAAGTACAATCCAGCGTGCGTGGAGCCGCGGTGCTACTTAGTTCTGGATAAGGATCATACTAGCGAACAGGAGAAGACTCTGCAGCAACTACAGGTACTGCTACGAATATGTTTTTATATATATATGAAGCCTTTTCTCTTCGTCGATTTTTTCATCAACCATTGCTAGGTTGTATGTCTTTCCAGCTTCTGATTCATACCTTGACAGCAAAGACGTGCTGACTCGAGTTGTTTCATGTGCGACTATGACTGTAACGGTGCAGGCCTATATCGAGTCCGAGAACCAGCGGCTGGAGAAAGACATGGGGCGATTCTCGGACCGAGAGGTGGTGGTGCGCGTGGAGTACAAGTACTGCCCCAACCTCACCATCATTGATACGCCTGGACTCATCTCCGCCGCTCCATCTGTCACACACACGGCGCTGCAGGTGGGTGCGATGGTGGGTGGGTGTGGGCAACTAGGGGGGTAGGTAGAGAGGTGGTGATGCGCGTGGAGTACAAGTACTGCCCCAACCTCACCATCATTGATACGCCTGGACTCATCTCCGCCGCGCCCTCGGTCACACACACGGCCTTACAGGTGCGTCAATATATGTATGTATGCTCGCATATAATGCGAATGTTATGATACTTTGTCTCAAGGACAGGAGCGACTGGAGCAACGCCACCACGCAGGGGGTCGTGATGAAGGTCGACCCGGACCTCTCCCGAACCACCCCACTTTTTCCCAACCTGCTTTCCTTTCCTTTCCCTGTCGAGGTTTCCGCTCCTATCCCCCCCATCCTTCACCCCTGCAGGAGCAAGCGCGGATCGTTGAGGCACTAGTGCTGGCGAAGATGAAGCAGCAGGAGTTTGTGATACTCTGTCTCGAAGACAGCAGCGACTGGAGCAACGCCACCACGAGGAGGGTCGTGATGAAGGTCGACCCGGACCTCTCCCGGACCTCTCCCAACCTGTTTTCCTTTCTCGTGGGGGACCCCTCTCCCATTCCCTCCATTCTTCACCGTTTCAGGAGCAAGCCAGAATTGTTGAGGCACTAGTACTGGCGAAGATGAAGCAGCAGGAGTTTGTGATACTGTGTCTCGAAGACAGCAGCGACTGGAGCAACGCGACGACTCGCCGCATTGTCATGAAGGTCGACCCGGACCTCTCCCGGACCATCCTCGTGTCCACCAAGCTCGACACTCGCATCCCGCAGTTCTCCCGGGCAGCCGACGTGGAAATGTTTCTCAACCCGCCGCTGCCGGATATTTCGGCGTCGCGGCTCGCCACGCGGCCGTTTTTCACGTCGGTGCCGTCGGGACGAGTGGGCTCCGGATCGGATGCTGTGTTTATGACTGACGACGATTTCAGAGATGTGAGTCAAGGAATGGGGGCGTGAGAGGAGGAGTAGGGGAGCTTGGGGAAAGGTTATGGGTAGTGTGGAGGAAGTGGGGACGAGTCGGGTCGGATGCGGTTTTTAGGCAGATGACGATTTCAGTGATGTGAGTTGGGATAGGTGGGTGGTTGAGGGGAGGAGAAGGGAGACGAGCAGGGAAATGAGTGGAGTCGGGGTCTGACGCGATGTTCATGACTGACGACGATTTCAGATATGTGAGTCGGGGAGAGGGGAGGGTTCGGATGCGAGGGGGGAGGAGGGGAAGAAAGGCAGAGGGAGCAGGTGAAGGCCAGTGGGGTCCGGGGCGAATGTGGTTTTCAAGACAGATCATGATTTCAGAGATGTGAGTGGGGCTAGGTGGGTGGTTGGGAGGAGGAGGAAGGGAGAGGAGAAGATAAATGGATGTGGTCAGGGGCGGATGTGCATACAGAGATGTGAGTTGAGGGAAGGGGCCGAGAAGGGGAGGGATGAGGGGATGTGGGTTAGAAGCAGTTTCTCAACCCGGCACTCTCGAATGTCTCCAATGTTTCCAATGTTTCCACGTCACAGCTGGCTCTCTCCAATGTTTCCACGTCACAGCTGGCTCTTCCACGTCGTTGACTCTGATATGAAAGTGGCTGGTTGACTTGGTTGACTTGCGCTGACCTGCAGGCAGTTGCTCGGAGAGAGATGAGCGACCTTGCAGCGCTAGAGGACAAAATGGGCCGGCCTCTTTCGGACGACGAACGAGCACGGGTGGGGGTTAGCCAGCTTCGGCTGTTTTTGGAGCAGATGCTGCAGCAACGGTAATCAATCCTTCCTTTACTTCTCCCATTCACTTCTCTCCACCCCTTCCTCATGTAACCTCTTCCTCCTCGTCCCCACTTCCTCTCTTCTTGGAGCAGATGCTGCAGCAACGGTAAGCAACAACTTCCGCCTTACCATATTTTCCCCCACTCCCACTCTACGCTTGCTTTCCCCTCACTCTCTTCTAGAAGCAATAGCTGCAGCGATAGTACGCAGTCGATTTCTTGTTCCCACTCCATCCCTTCCCTGCTTTCCCCCCTCTCCCCCCTTTCTTTTCACCATTCTCCGTATCCCGCCCTCCTGCCCCCCCAGCACCCTGCGCGTCCTCTGCACTGCTTTTGAGGCGCCTCAAAAGTCGTCTCATTACCCGCAATTTTGAGGCGCCTCAAAAGTTCACCATTCTCCGTATCCCGCCCTCCTGCTCCCCCAACACCCTGCTCGTCCTCTGCACTGCATTTCAGCCTGTAGATGCAATTCGACGTCATTCCTCCCCTGCATCTGCCCTTGCCCCCACCTCCCCATCCAGGTATCTCGAGAGTGTACCCTATATAGTGCCGCTGCTCGATAAGGAATACAAGTCTGTCTCCACCAAGCTCTCTGCCACCTCTGCGGAGCTACAGTAAGCAACAATACCTCTTCAACGTCCTGAACCTCTCCTTTGCTGTCCACTCCACGTGTTGTGAGGCGCTTTCTGCTCTTCTCTTCTTTCTCCGTTTTCTCATGGCGCCTACAAAGACCCCTAAGCATCATCCCCTGTTTCTTCCTCCTCTCTCCGTTTGGGCATCAGGAACCTGAGCAACGGCGAGTTGACGGCTAAGGCGCCTCAAAAATAGGCGCCTACCAAACCCCAATTATCCCCTGTCTCACCCTCCTCTCGCCGTTTGAGCATTCCTCAGGAACCTGAGCGACGGCGAGTTGACGGCTAAGGCGCCTCAAAAATAGGCGCCTACCAAACCCCAATTATCCCCTGTCTCACCCTCCTCTCGCCGTTTGAGCATTCCTCAGGAACCTGAGCGACGGCGAGTTGAGAGAGAAGAGCCGAAACTTCCGCGACAACTTTGTCCGGAAGGTACGTGGGGGGGTATGAGGCCTTCGGGGTCCGTCTGAGGGGTGCGTGCATGGCCTCTGACCAGGTCGTTTTTTGAGACGTCTCAAAAATCGTTCGGAAGGTACGTGGGGGGGTATGAGGCCTTATGGGTCTGTCTGAGGGGTGCGGGCATGGCCTCTGACCAGTTCGTATGTGCTGATTGGTGCTAAATCTCGTTTCTAAAAGAAAAAATGAAAAGAGAAACTCTTTTGTTACAGCATTCTGCACCTCTGTAACACCTCGAACACCTGTAAACCCCACCCCACTCCACCCTCCTTCGCCTCTCGCCCTTTCAGCTCACGGTTCTGCTCCGTGGCTCCATTGCTGCTCCGCTGGACAAGTTTGTAACCCCTGTAACACATGTGAACCCCACCCCACCCTACCTCACCCCACTTACTTACCCTCTCGCCCTTTCAGCTCACGGTTCTGCTCCGTGGCTCCATTGCTGCTCCGCCGGACAAATTCGGTGAGTTGAATCACGTGGTCAGAGGACATGCCGAATGAGGCCTCCGCCCCTCTCAGATTCTGATCTTAGTCACCCTTCTTCCTTCCTGAACCATGCCTCTTCTACCCTCCCAACCTCCTCTCCCCTCCTCCGCTTGCCCACTTCTAGTCCGCTGACTTTTGAGTCGACTCAAAGTCACTCCGCTTACCCACTTCTAGTCCGCTGCTGCCCACCAGGCGAGACACACTGCAATTAGAAGTAGCAGCTTCCGCACATGTCTCCCACCCTCACCGCTCGTTTGCCCCTCTGCCCTTCACTCTCTGTGCTTTTCTTGGTACTCCCAACCCGATCGCCCTCTGCTGCCCACCAGGCGAGACTCTGCAGGAAGAGAGGGCGCGTGGAGGGATCTTTGTGGGGTCAGACGGCCAGCAGTTTCCACAGAGGCACATGCCGGTGAGCCTCCCTATTGTCACATAGCCTCCCTCTCGTTGTTGTCACGAATTGCTTTGCCAAAAAAATCTTTCCAAAGGCACATGCTGGTGAGCCTTGGTTGCTGCTGTCACAGAGACTTGCGCATTCTGTGAGGAGGAGAATGTCCCTTTCACTTGTCCCCTAATGACGTGATAAAAGCTGAGTTCGGAGACGCCTCAAAACTCAACTTTTATCAAGGAGAACGTTCCTTTCCCTCATTCTCTAATGAATTTCCTCTTCAGAAGAGGATGGCTCAAGGCAGGTACAATGCTCCATGTTGTAACCACCCCTTCCTTTCCCTCTCTGCACCCGCCTCTCCTCCTTCCACCAGAACGCAAGCATGCGTCTCTTTGGAGGGGCGCAGTACCACTGCGCAATGGCACGGTTCGAGGCTTTGTTTCATTGCCGCAGTTTTGAGTCGACTCAAAAGAGTCGAGTTTTGAGTCGACTCAAACTCGACTCGTTACAAATGGGGCACAGTACCACTGCGCAATGGCAGGGTTCGAGGCTTTGTTTCATTGCCACAGTACCACTGGCTGGGCAATGTCCCTTGCCTCTCTCTCTTGTCGCCTCAGTACTATCTGTATTTCCCCCATCCCCCCCCCACCCCACCCCTATCAGAACGCCAGCATGCGCTTGTTTGGAGGGGCGCAGTACCACCGGGCGATGGCCGAGTTCCGGTTTGTGGTGGGTGCAGTGCGGTGCCCTGCGATATCGAGGGAGGAGATTGTGAATGCGTGCGGTGTGGAGGATGTGCATGACGGCACCAACTACTTCAGGTACGTTACTGCATATATTTACATCGCTGCCATCGCTGGGACTTTGTCTGCCTCGTGACAGGATAATGAAGCGAATCGACATTTGAGAATTCTCAAAAATCACTCCTCGTTCCTCCCTGCTGTCACCTCGTGACTTTTCTCTACTCCTCCCTGCTCTTTCTCATTCCTTTCTCGTACCCTGCAGGACGGCGTGTGTGATTGCTGTTGCCAAGGCATGGGACGTGTTCGAGCCGTTCCTTCGACAGGTATGGCTGTGGGGACACTTCAGTCTTGGCGTGGGACGTGTTCAATAATCAATTGAGTTAGCCATCTGGGTTACGTTTATTTAGGCGCCTCAAAAATTGACACTTAAGTCTTGGCGTGGGACGTGTTCAATAATCAATTGAGTTAGCCATCTGGGTTACTTGATGAGTCATGTAGGTTACAAGCATGACTCATCGAGTAACCCAGATGACTAACTCAACTGTGCGGATTTGGGTTACATGATTTGTCATGTAAATCACAAGGAACAAATCTGCCAAGAGCAATTTCTTTGGCTACCCACCTCTCTCTCGCCTGCTCCAACATACTCCCTTCACCTCTTCTTCTCCTCCCTTACTTTCCTCCGCTTTCTCCTCCCTTCCCTCCTCTCTCAGCTCGGGTTCCGTCTATCCCACATTGTGGGGCGACTGCTCCCTATCGTGCTGTAATTTGAGACCACTCAAAACTCGTCCCTCCTCCCTTCCCTCCTCCCTTCCCTCCTCCCTTTCGTCATCCCTTCCCTCCTCTCTCAGCTCGGGTTCCGTCTATCCCACATTGTGGGGCGACTGCTCCCCATCGTGCTGTTCCTACTCAAGGTGAGCCCCAGTGCTTGTCGAAATAAGATATTCCTAGGCACCTGCTCCTCATTCCTTCCCTCACACAGGAAGCGTGCCGAAAGATTGCTCCTGGTCTTTTGGCACACCAGGAGTTCCTAGTCACACTGACAAGCTTTTGAGTCGACTCAAAAAAAGATTGCTCCTGGTCTTTTGGCACACCAGGAGTTCCTAGTCACACTGACAAGCACCTGCTCCTCATTCTCTCTCTCTCTCTGACTCTACCCCACGTCCTCCCGCTCGCCTTCTTTCTGTCCCCACATGATTGAGGGACAACGAGCTCATGCTGTTATATGGAACGTTCATAGAACGAAAGCAGGAGTGATACCACGAGTTGACTCACACACACAAATCACCTCCGTGTGCCTGTCCCCTTCCCATCTCCCCTTGACATCTCCCCTTCCCATCTCTCCTTCCCATCCCCCCTACTCAGAGGGACAACGAGCCCATGCTGGTGCATGAAACGTTCATAGAGCGAGTGCAGGAGTCGTACCACAAGTTCGTCGATGCAACAGAGCGCTCCTGCATTGACAAGTGAGTGAGAGGGAGAAGGTGCCACAGTCTAGGGGAGGCTGGGCAGGTTGGGAGACTGGCAGTGAGCAGTGGGGGAGGGTGCAGGAGTCGTACCACAAGTTGGTCGATGCAACCGAGCGCTCCTGCATTGACAAGTGAGTGCTTGCTGAGTGCTCCTCCACTCGACAATCACGATTCCCGTCATATCACAAGTTTGTGGTCTGATTCCACAATCACTACTCCCGTCTTCTTTCAAGAACCACTGCCTTTAACAGTACACATGTTTTCAGTCAGCCTCCGCAGCACACATGTTTTTGAAAGAAGACGGGAGTAGTGAGTGGCCACTCCGCAGCACACATGTTTTTGAAAGAAGACGGGAGTAGTGAGTGGCCACTCGGCTCGGCAGCACACATGTTTCTGAAAGAAGACGGGAGTAGTGAGTGGCCACTCGGCTCGGCAGCACACATGTTTTTGAAAGAAGACGGGAGTAGTGAGTGGCCACTCGGCTCGGCAGCACACATGTTTTTGAAAGAAGACGGGAGTAGTGAGTGGCCACTCGGCTCGGCAGCACATATGTTTCAGCCTCCTCTGGTTGCCAATCCCTCTCTTTCCCCCTCTGCCTCTCCACCCACCCTCTGCTGTGTGCCCTCAGGTGCATGGAGGATCTCACCAGCACCACTCGCTTCGTCACATGGTCTCTGCATAACAGGGTAGGCCATCTCCTTCCATTCCCTCTCACAACCCTCCTCTCTCCTAGTTTCGCACGGCAAATGTAATGAATATTTCTTCTGCCACGCACAGCAGTGTCCCTCTCGTTCTCACTGCCCCTTCCAATTCTTCCGGCCCTTGCAGTCTCGCTCTGCCCTGCGTTCCTTCTTTGACTGGGCCATGCCCAACCACGACTCCTCCCTCTTTCCTGCTCCCTCCATACGCTCACTCCTTGCTCATACTTCCTCACATGTTCCCCTTCTTCCAAACCCTCCCCCCCTCCCCTTTGCAGTCTCGCTCCGCCCTGCGTTCCTTCTTCGACTCGGCCATGCCCAACCACGACTCTCCCCTCGTCTCTGCTCCCTCCTTATGCTCATCCTTCCTTCACTTGTTTTTTCTTCCACCCCGCTTCCTCCCATACAGTCTCGATCTGCACTGCGATCCTTCTTTGATTCAGCCATGCCCAACCACGACTCCTCCCTCCTCGCTGCTGTCGGCGCCTTCGAAGCATCCACGCCCATGCCGGTTCCAGCAGCCACAAGCAGACAGAACTCGCCGCCCTTTGGCCCGACCGACTACCAGTCCAGTCCAAGCGACGACGGCCGGGGCGACAGAGGGGCAGTAGGGGGAACCAACCGAGCCAGCGGCAATGGTACCACTGCTGGTGGTACCGCTAGTGGCGGTGCTGGTGGTGCTGGTTCTACTGCTGGTGGTGCCGCTGGTGCAGCAGCAGGAGGCAGCGGCACAGGAGGAGGGAGGCTGGCGGATCTCCTCGAATCCACCCTCTGGACCCGCCGGCTCGCGCCTTCCTCAGAAGACATAGTGAACGCGCTGGTGATGCAGATTTTCGAGGGCATCCGGGACCACTTTGTGATGTCTGCAGAGCTCAAGTTCAATTGTTTCTTTCTGATGCCGTTAATGGACCGGTTTCCTGCACGGCTGAGGGAGGACCTGGAGGCGGTGGCAGGGGGTGGGCTGGATGCGGTGTTTGATATCTCGAGAGTGCGCGGGCAGCTGGAGAGGAGCCGCGGGGAGCTGGATGAAGAGCTGAGGCGGGTGAGTTGGAAGTTGAAGTGGGGGTTATGAAATCGGTTATCGGTGGTCATGGATGGGGAAGGAGGGACTAGCTGGCATGAGAGAGGGTACGGATGTCACGTGCTTGTCCTGGTCTCAGCATCATCACGCGGAGCGTTCGTTTCTGTTTCTAGACTCAATCTCTTGGTCCCTTCGTCCGTTGTTTTCCATGAATGCCCTTTCTTCCAGGTGCATGCACTTCAGGCCAAGTTCGCCAGTATTCACCACAGCCTGAGCGTGATGCCATCCCATGCCATGTCAGCACCAACGGGGTCTCTTTTCAGCTCACAGACTGGAGCGTCGCCGTTGCCCTCCTTCGGGTCGTCAGACGCAGCTCTCCTGCCCTCACGGCATTTTGCCGACTCGCTCTCATCGATGTTGGACGCGCAGAGCCTGGGGACTCCAGGCGCAAGAAAAGGTTTAGATAGCGGCCGTGAATATATTATCAGAAAAGCATGAAGCCAGTGTCTGCGTGTGTACCTTCTCTCGTGCTAGATCCATGTGTAGAGCCATCATTCTGCCTTGGTGTGCTATGGTCTCATACTGGTGCTGGTTTCCTTGTGAGTTGTGTTATGAGTGTTTTTGAGTGAATGTAATTCGTTAAAGCTTGTCACGAAGGACTCTCTAGCGAGCTTTTTTTCTTCTAGGCTCGAATTTCAGTAACCTCGTTCTGCATGACGACGCAGGCAGGGATATGTCCCCATCCCAGCATCTCTGTATGAACCATAGAGATATGCTCGGTTTGTTGCGGTTCATAGAGGTCAAGTTTTGAAATCGTGTTGAATCGTCGAGAACCCGATTGAACTGCGTGAGCGGATACCAAGCAAGCACACAACTCAGCTTAGGAGGAATTTGAATTCGACAGGCAGCAGCGTCTGCTGTATTGTCTCCATGGTTGCATCGCCTCGCCTATTTCGTTCTTGGTAATTGCAATCTCAGGACTTTTCCTCAGCCGACTTAGGTGTCACATCGCAACGTGAGACGGTCCTTTTTTAGGAGATTTTTCGGATAACGTTCACGACAGGATGGGAGCCGAGCAGTCGACGGAAGGAACTGACCGGCTAAAAAGGTCCGTCAAGGTCCGTCGTGGCTGCGGGAACCTTCCGATTTTGCGATATTCCCGGCTGCATATGCAAGAGGACGTAATCAACTGTATTCAAATTCTGCTTGTATTCAGGTCTATAAACAAGAGCATCAGGGATGTTATTAGCCGTGAAGACCTACATGAATTGGTCTTATTTTACCCCTAGTCGGTCACTTATAATTGAATGTGTTGGGATTTCCCTGTTCTTGTTGCTCCTGGCTGCTGTACTCGCTTTGGGGGACTGGGTCGAGCTGCAGACATCGTTATTCCTGCTGCATCATTCATTGAATTTGCCATGTGCTTACTTGTCGCTCCTGCCTGCACCCCCTGCTGCCATGCAGGTTCTACTCGCCTTGAGAGTGGGACGAGCTGCAGTAAAATCTAGCCCTGACCCATGCCTTGGGATTGCCGTGTGCTTGCCTGTCCATCCTGTCTGCACCCCCTGCTGCCAGGCAGGCTGTACTCTCCTCGGGAGTGGGACGAGCTGCAGCGCTTGTTTGTGTCACTCGCGGCACAGTCACGCAGCAACGGGCAACATGTCATAGCGAGTGTGTTCCAGGTATGGCTTCATGGGTACCCGACTGCACTGCTCTGCACCGCTCTCCACCAATCTCCTCGGCTTTGGTCAGCTGTCAGAAGAATCAATTTCCATCTGGGTTCACTTATGTGCCATGTGTGTCCCATCTGTATCCCTCCACATCCTTTCTGCCCTACAGGCTACAGGCATACTGCAGAATCCACGGCAGTCTAGGAGCTCGCCTCTTTCAGACTGCAACCAAAGCGCGACTCCACCTGTCTCACTGTCCCATTTTGCTTCTGTCGCATCTGTCCTCCAGGCATACTACGGCATTCATGGCAGTCTTGGAGGTCGCCTCTTTGAGATTGCCACGCAGGGGAACAAGGATGGTCTCATGCGCTTCCAGGAGTTTGCAGCTATCAAGGTTTGCTCTCGCCTTTCACCTTATGTACTGTTCGGTTATTTTGTTGCATTTTGGCACAATGCGAAGGTTTAAGGTCCTACAGTGATTGGTCTGATGAGATTGGGATTTACCAAATGACATTCAGTTTTACTTCTAGCATTTGCTTTCACCTAATGTTTCTAAGGGGCCATCTCTCGCCTCTGGTTCACTTCTTTCACAATGTCTTTGTTCTGGACAGGACAGGGACGGCCAAGGTGGCATTGCCATTTATTACCCTCTGTACTCTCAAGTTCCCATCCAGTTATTGCTTCCCTTCCATCAGATTGTATTTGACAAGGGTTGTTGAGATGACACTGACAACTATGGCCATCTCTTCCCTCCAAATCTGATTCGAATCTTGTCCCCCATCCATCAGGCTGTGTTTGACAAGGGTTCACCTGATGAAATTGACCGCATGTGCTTTCAAGTCATGGACGTTCTCAAGTCTGGGAAAGTCGACAGGTACACTGACTCCAATTTTTTCGAGTCTGGCTTATGATCAAGTCATTGACGTTCTATGAGTAAGAGAAATTAGCAATGTAAACTTTCTCAATGCAGAGTTGGCCTGTAGTGTGTTTCTAATTCTGGAGTTGCATTGTCCTGCATGTGTCGAATGCTGTTAGCTAGCCAGTGCATCCAGTCTCTGTCTGACTTTTGAGTCGACTCAGAAGTCATGCTGTTAGCTAGCCAGTGCATCCAGTCTCTGTCTGACTTTTGAGTCGACTCAAAAGTCATGCTGTTAGCTAGCCAGTGCATCCAGTCTCTGTCTGTGTTCCACCTTCCCCATTCCCATCTGCATCCTTCACACCGCAGGCGAGAGGTTGAAGAGGTGATTCGCAGTGCTCTCACCACTGTCTTCGGTCCCCAGCACTCCCTTACACTTGCCATCATCCAAGCCTTCGTCTCCTCTGCCTTCCCATCTATTCCTACATCTAGTACGTGGACTTCTTTCAGTCACTCCTCCCTCGCTTCCACCGCTCTCCATCCCTCTTCTGCTCGGTCTTCCACAGCTGCTGCACCGCTTGCTGCATCAGCAACGGCAACAGCAGCACCATCGGAGGGAGCAGGGGGACAGCAGCAGCCAGAGGGGGGGAGGCCAGAGCAAGAAGGGGAGGGCGTAGGTAGGGATGGTAGTGCGGGTGCCAGTGTTGCTGCTGCTGATACCAGAGTTCATGATGATGGTGCCATTGTTGCTGCTGATGATGGAAGGGAGTTGTCATATCAGGATGCAGTTCGATGGTGGACTGCAGTCCCTGCTGTCAAGAAGTTTCTCCGGAGCCTCCTCACCCCTCCAGATCTTCGTGAGTCTTTGCGGATTGATTTTATTTTGTTTGCTGTTAACTCGGTTGCATAGGAGAAAACTTTCTGGGCGCATCAAAAGTATTCAGACCAACGTGAATAATGCTCTGTGGAGATATTTTTTTGTTCATTTGCTGTTAACCCGATAGCATAGGAGAACATTGTCACGGAACTCTGAAGTGGAGGTGTATTTTGAAAATTTCCAAAATGTTTTTTACCAAAAAATAATTCTTCTCTAACGGAGTTTTCATTCTGTAACCGAGTGATCATTTGTTGTAGATTTTTTAGTGAGTGTCCCACTGGTGCTTTTAGCAAATGCTTCACTTTCTTGCCGCTTCTCCCCTCTGTTTGTCTTTTCCAGGTCCGCCGCTACCAACTCTCATTGCGCCACCTGTCACCGCCAGTGGCTGCCACATCAGCGAAGAAGCTGGGGAGCGGCAGCATGAGAGCAGGGAGGACACGTGGCTGCTGCAGAAGGAGCTGACGTGGCACATAGCTGGTGCACTACAGGAGAAAGAGTGTCGGGAGTGGTGTTTGTTGTACAGCAGCAAACTGCATGGCCTGAGCTTCAACTCTTTTCTGGGGAAGGTAGGACTGATCACAATAATATGATAGCCTGCATTGCCGTTCTTGTGTTAAAATGAAGGAAGAAGAAAGAAGTGGGTGGTGGCAGCATCAAATGCTACCATCTCTCATATAGTGTTACAGCATGAGCATCCAACCGGTTTCAGACGTTTCAGAATGCAGCTCTCCTTGTCCACTCACCCTTCCCTATCCTCCTCAGGTGTCATCTGTACCGCATCCAACCGTTCTTGTGGTCCGAGACTCATCTGGGGCCATCTTTGGGGCCTTCGCTTCCAAGCCGTGGGAGCGAGGCAGTGCTTTCTACGGTGACATGCGCTCCATCCTCTTCTCCTTCCTCCCCACTGCTGCTGTTTTCAAGGCAGCTGGCACCAGCACTAACATTCAGTGGGTACGTGACATTGTGTCAAAAGTTGAGTTGCTGTGGATGGAGGTGTGGTAGTGAATGCCATGTTTCTTCCTCTATTCTCCACTTTTTCTCCTTGTTGCCGATGACTTTCTTACAGTCCAACTTTTGGACTGACTCAAATCGTTGGACTGATGTTCTACCTGTCCTTTCCCGCCCCTTGAATCGCAGTGTGCGTCAGGCTTCGCAACCGAATCCATTCCCAATGGCATCGGTTTGGGCGGCCAACCGGGTCATTTCGGCCTTTTCCTCACAACCCAGCCTCTCCTTTCCTGCCCTCGTTCATTTCCATTGCAGTGTGCGTCAGGCTTTGCCTCTGAGTCCATTCCCAATGGCATCGGTCTGGGCGGCCAACCGGGTCATTTCGCCCTTTTCCTCTCGTCGGATTTCGACTCAGGTCACTCTCGCCCCAGCACCACATTCAACTCCTCTTCACTCTCTTCAACACCAAACTTCAACATAGATGCTGTGGAGTGTTGGGCTGTTATCAGTGCTTCTCTTTCCGATAGGATTTCTGCTGGCGATGGGGGGATAGGAGCTGTTGGATCGTCACGGTCTGGAGTGGGGAGTGGGAGATCAGACGATGCTGGTGGTAGTGGGAGAGGGACGGTGCTGGATAGGTTTGGGAAGGAGCGTGCGATGCTGGGCATGATTGGAATAGCCACGGCTAGTGAGAACATAGGCAGGGACAAACCGGATAGAGAGGGGTGAATGCATATGAAGTCGGCAGTGGCAGGTGTGGGCAAAGGAGAGAGGGTTTGGGGGTGGAGGATGTGTGGGGGGGGAGGGGAGAGGGGTGAGAGGAAGTTGTTCTGCCAGAGGCGATTTGGGCCTGGTAATGTGCCGTATTTGCAGCTATGTGGAACCAACGAGTTGAGTTTCCTTTTGTCAAGTAGCGAGTGGGATAGTAGAATACTGTTGGTAACTCATACACCATTGGGGAGGATTTTGCCATGTTGGGCGCTATGAGGTCTTCTGCTGCTGAGAACATTGGGGCGCCTTAGTCAGGTTTTTCTTTGTTGGGATGTTCCCACACGTGGTACCAGGAATACTACACCCTATTCGCGATAATTTCACACCCCTTAAACGCACACCCTGGGGGTACATACCGGGGATACAAACTTTCTTGCAGGATAGTTCGCTGCGAAATGGAATAGCTGGTGAGCGTTCCGAAACCCAGTCGCGAATAGACGTAAGCATTAACTTCATTCGTGCCTACCCAACCCCGCCCTCACTCGGAACACATGGTGTAGTTTCAAGAGAAACTGCATCTAGCTGTCGACTGATTGTCCCTGAGTTTCAGGGTGCCCGTCGTATCGAGCCTGAATTGGTATAGGGCACCTTCAAAAAAGCAGGCAGGGGGTGTGCAATTATCGCGAATAGGGTGTATTAGAGTACCAGGAACACTGGTGAAGTTGCAGGTAAAATCTGATGAGTAAAAGGGGAAAATTGAGAAAGCTTGCTTTCTTTCTTATCAATTGGCATCGTTCTCATTACAAATGGGGTATTACAACATTTGCATCATCGTTCGACATAAGCTAGTGCGGACTAATAACACTAGCTATTATGTACCCTATCCAAGTGGCATTAGCAAGGCGGTTTACACTGGGGTGGGTGGTGGGAATGTTGAGTGAGCCGTTTGAAAATTGAGAAACGTGGGTGGAGGGAAATGAGCTCCAACCCACGGTTTTTGTAGTTGGAGAAGGGCGTTTAGCGCGCTTCGACGATGCCAATTGTGCAGTACAAGCAGCTTCGCTTTCACAATACACAATTTTAAAAAACACTACATGTGTGTTTAAAAATTATAATATATGTCACAAGTAACCATCATGGGACCAGGGCTAATTTTTGGTTTCCAGCAACCCTTGTGATCAGTGTTGCACAAGTCCAAAAACCTGATTATCAGTGTGACACCTTGTTCAAACCCTGATCCACCAGGGTTTTCATAGTTTTTGAAAATTATACCCTGTAGGATCAGTGTACCAGTTTTGCAAACCCTGGTGTATTGATATTATCGTTGGCAGGCAATAACGAAAATGTATTTCTGGCCAATGGAGGCCCCCCTCGTGCCAGCTCAGAGATGTTGCCTTTGCCAAATTTCAGTTTCGACAGTTGGCATGCGAGAACCTCGATACGGGAAAGGGGGGGTGGGTAGAGAGGGGGCGGGGGGTGGGGCGGCTCGGGGAGGGTATGTACTCGATTCAGGGTAAAACTCGTTACGAAGATCGGTAACCCTGGGCCGTCAGTGTACCTCAAACGTAAACCCTAGCCTATCAGGAAAATACAAGCTCCCGAAAAAATTACCCTAAGGCATCAGTGTGACAGCCAAAAACCACCCTGATTATCAGGGTATCAGGGTGATTTACCCTGATAAAATTAGCCCTGCATGGGACTCGATAACGTGAATGGTAAAAAAGTAACGCGTACGGTCACTGTATCGGGTTTGCTGATGGGTTTGGTAAGTGGGGTCACGGATTCAGTCATTAACAACAGGTAAAAAATCACGCGAATGGTCACACATGTAACTCCCGCCAAAATTTCCTGAAACTCTACAAAATCCCGCTCGCGCTCAACTAATCATCGAACTTAAAAAAAAAAAACCCAATCGGAATCGGATGCGGTTTGGGAAAGGATCAACCCTAAACAAATGGCAAATTGTGTTTAGGGTTGATTCATCCGAGAATGCATCCTGGTTCGGTTTGGGTATTATCTTTTTTGGGCGGGAGTTTCATCTGTGACCATTCACGTTATTTTTTTCCAGTTGATAGTGACTGCCTCCGTGAAACGTTTTATCAGTCGCGTGAAAACACCCCCCGCAGTGACCGTATCCTTTTTTTTTAAAAAAAACCAAAAGTGTTATCGAGTCCCATGATGGTTACGAATGGCATATTTTCCCGAGTAAAAGAGGAGCTGGTGAAATGATAGCGAATTCCACACTTCTTTGAGTAGTTCATTTTTCGTCGTGTCTTTTTGGTCGCAATGTTTCAATGGAAGTCGGGGAATGCTGGAGCCTTTTGCGACCGACTCCACGTGGCTGCTGCAGACGCGATGCGTCGAGGATTTGGATGACCGATCCAGCAGGGTCCAGCCGAGTTGCAGATGCGTAACCAGCATTTTTCGCGACCATCACCCGGGTGGGCAGGAAGTCAGTTGCTTCGTTGGATTCCTTCGCGGCAGCACCACGGTGTTGACACATCCAACTCCTGTGATTCTGGCGAAAATTGCCGTGCTGCGCTGTAACAGAACAACGGGGCAGCAACCGTGCGTTGCTGGCATCGCAGGCGATCTATTTGTTTGCCGAAAGAAGTTAACTGGGGACTGCGAAAAGCAACGATGGCAGGCGATGGTTTTGTTGCCCCTGCGATCGTCCCATTCCCCCAAGAATCCCACCCTTCCCCCCCATCTCATCAATCTCTCTCAACACCCTTCCCCATCACCAAAAAACACCGACTTTCCCCATCACCTAAAGCTGCTCGAGTACATATATCCCGAAGACGCGACATTTGTTTCAAGCTAGATAGCGCTAACTAGACAACATCACTCAGCCTGCGGTTGAATCTGACGCATTTCGCGGCTACGATCTTGCGTAAACAGCTATTCATTTTAACATCCTCTGTTGCAATAGGATAGGTAGAAGAACCCTGTCCCTCAGCGAAACTGCCTCTGAGTTGCTAAAGATCTTAGTTCGAAAACCGATAGCTGAGTTTCAAGCGCCGGACAACCCTTACGTCATGGCCTTCACACGTTCCCTACAGTTTATATTCCTTTCATTAATTCTCTCGGCCATTTACGCTCGGTGCGCTCACGGATTCTTTAATCGTCACCGTGTCGTCATTCCGCCTGCCCACCGGCAGCACGCCCGCTTCAGAGACCTCAAGATCGGCCGCTCGAAACTCCCGCTAAGCCCGTTCGAATCTCAAGGGGAAATCCCAGCCTCAGAAATTCATCTTAAAAGCTCGAATGGTGGGGAGGTGTTTCCAGCGGACAGCGGGGCACTACTGGGTGCGAAAAAGCGTATCGAAGCCGAGGCGCGCGCGAAGCGCACCTACGGGAGCTTCCTGCATCGTATGTCCATTCTCGGCGCGGACCCGGAGAAGGAGTATCACCGCTTCTCGAACCGCACGGAAACCATGAAGGAGAATAACTACCAGATAAACTACTACGGCGGAGCCGTGCTCACACAGCCGATTAATCTCTACATCATCTACTACGGCACGTGGTATCAGTCGGAAGTGAACATCGTGGAGAATTTCATCAAGTCGATTTCTTCAACTTCCTACACCTCGGTGAGTTCGCCGTGTGCCTCGGAAAAACACTCCGTGCCTTCCACTCCTTCCCCCCTATGTATCATAGTACTGTAACTGTGCCCTGTGATGCTGACTTGGCCCCCTGCCACTCCCCCCTGTTGTCACACTTAGTTCCTGTGCCTTCCCTCGTCCCCGCCGTGTCACCTTCAGAAATTCGCGACAGTGCGCGGATGGTGGAAGATGATCTCATCGCGCTACTACCAGATATCCAACGGCAAATACTACTACATCACTCCCAAGGTACTAACTCCAAAGTTTTGTGGCACCAACGTGAGGCAGTTTGGTCCCACATGGTCTGGTGGTCGGGTCCTTTCGGTAGAGGGAAGAAGCGATGGGGTTTTGTGGACCTTAGTCTCCGCTCCGCTACCTGCCTCCCTCCCTGACAACATTTCTACTGGCACTGCTCTGCATAGAAATTTCATCTCTTTATATCCCTTGGTCCCTCTGCTCTGCTCCTGTTGCTTTGAACTCGTGCAGGTGAATTTGGCCGGCACAGCCTACGATAAATACACAAGCTCGAGCATCATTGGAGGTAAGGTAGCATTCAGCATTGGATGCTGTGGCAGCACGGCCATGTGACCACCATCATAGGCACACTGGACGTGATCATATACGTAGTGAAGACACGTTTTTTGCCTTACCTGATTCTAATGAATGTTGGATCCCCTTGGCATGCACGCCCTGCTGATTGCCAATTGCAGCTATCGAGAGGCAGATAATGACCACCAAGCGCTTCCCATTGGACCCTAATGGGATCTACATGGTGCTCACCAGTGCCGATGTTACGGTTACCATTGGCGGGGATGGCTTCTGTGACAGATACTGTGGACTCCGTACAGCGTTTACGGGGATCAAGAACGGAGTCAGCAAGCTGTATCAGTACATTCACGTCGGTAATCCTATTCGCCAGTGCGCTGACTCTTCCTGCGTTCTTGGACAGAGCGAGTACTACTAGTAAGTGTGTGATGACTTCTCTGCTGCCCCTTCATCCCATGGCCACTTCCTCACTCTTCCTCTCCCATCCCGCTGCATGGGCTGCTCAAATGTGTCCTTCCTCAATTCGTAGTCTTACCAATTACTATTTCTTGTTGCCGCTGTCCTCTTGCTTGCCAGCAAAACGCCAAATGGAAACTGGGGCGTGGACAGCATGATAGCAACAATTGGCCACGAGCTGGCAGAAGCAGCCACCGAGCCTGACTTGGAAAAAGGTTGGCATGACAAGACAGGAATGGAGGTTGGCGACAAGTGCTCAGCTGACCTGGGTGCAAAAGTGTGGGTGGCTAATAAGGATACGAAGAATAGCTATCTGTTCAACACTGCGGGGTTGAATGGGGTTAGATTCTTGCAGGAGGCAATCTGGAATTACTCACCCAAGAGTTGCGTAGTGCAGTGAGGACGGGAGGATGGCGGTTGGGCAAAAGAGCTGTACCTTCAGCACTTATGTACATAATGGTGAGTAGTTGTGCTAATGGAGAAATGAAGGGCGGTGAATGTGTTTTTGCAACATGCTCCTTGAACTGGCTTCAAAAAGCAGTTGCAAGATGCATAGGGAGATATGTGTTTAAAAGTCTGTCAATTTAAGAGAGCTTTCGAACAATAAAGACGGCTTACAGGATAACCGGCCTAAAAAAAAAAGGTCTCCCTCAGAAGTTCTTACAGTTTGCTAAGAAAGGCGTCAGAATGCTGCTCGAGAATTGTGTCAGCTACATGTCTGATAACCCCAGCACCTTCAAAGTGCAACCACTCCATTTTCACCTGCAAATAGACAAAGCAAAGCAGGTTAGGACTACGTTTCATACGCATCAGCAGGGCGAAGGGCAGGGAGAAAGAAAAATTGTCAGTGAGTTACATGGATGTAGTTGTGGGCGAAAAATGGCAAAAAAGCCTCCTCAAAGTTCACGTCCACCTTCCTCCACGAGACTTGTTGCAATCCGGCAATCATATACTCTGTACAGTCAATTCCACGTTTTGTTGGTGCATCAGCTTGTGGAGCATGAAACACAGCCAACACGCCCCTCGAGCAAACAATTACCGTGATAAAGCTCGAAGTCATTCGATGGGTCAGTAGTGAACGAGTGTGGATCAGGCAAGTTAGTGCCTTCAACAGCAGGAGAATTCTGGACGAGCACGATGTGGCGATAAAGCGGACTGATTGCTGCTTTCGGAATCTGCAAAAGAAAAGAGCTTGTCAGGGTACTCAGCTCCAAAAATTGTCCCTATTTTTACTCCTAGAAACCAATCCCACCAAGACACACATACCACGGGAAGCTCAGCTGCTCTGCGAATAGAAGAGGTCTGCCAGCCAACCATGCGGTCGTAGCCAGCATTTGCGTAAAGCAGCCTCAACCTAAACGTTTTAAGCGCTGACCTGAGGAAAATGCAGGGTGCAACTCAGCAACTTCACCTCCATAATTTTTGTCTCATTTGCACAAGCACGGCTGGAATAAACTCACAGAAATGGTTTGCCTGGGCTATCAGCGGCCATTTCAACAAGAATAGGGAGCTTCTTATCTTTCATTGAACCATCACCAAGAAAAAGCTGGCGTCCTGTTTCCCCAGTGATGAATGGAGCTACAGACGGAGCGAGTTTCTCCAGAGCATTCAAACCAAGAAGGAACGGAAGCTGCAATGGAGATTGCAGTAAATAGCATCAGATTTGTATCAAGCAACATACATCGTCACGAAAACACTACAAGTGGAGCGTACCTGACCCTTTCCAGACACTCCCAAGTGTGGGGTAGCCAATGTGATGAAACAGACTGGCTCCAAACCAGCAATCGTTCCAGGTTGCTGGTTAGAGCCACCAAGACTAGATTTATCGCTGCACATATTACGGACACACAAGAATATGAAATTCCAAAGAGATGCGACGATAGGTCCACGTTAATTTGAGTCACGAACGGAACTAAGCGACTGACCTGTTATGCGGCTCGTGCAGCAAGGCAATCGCGTACCGAACAAACAAGCCACCTAAGGAATGGGCCACGAATGTTATTCTTTGTAGACTGTGATTCTTTTTAACGAGAGTCCTGACCTGTTCGGGCATTATACATTTCAGAAGATGTTAACCAGCTTGCAAATGCGTTGCTGACAGCGAAAGCGTGATCGATTGCTCACCTCATTGGCCAGTCGTTCTCCGGCCGTAATGACGCCTTGGAAGGTGAGCAGAAACTCGTTAGACGAGCTCGCTGGAATTTCAGAGATATCGCGAAATTAGGTTTCGAGTTGGTTTGAAATTTGCTCTCGAACAACTAAGGCGACGACTTTTACTGACCATAGATAAGAAATCGCTTGCCCAGTCGTTTCTTCAGCTCCCCGCTAAGGTAATCCCAATCACGTACTCTGAAAGTTCATGTCATGTAATGACCGTACGAGTTGGACTCAGATCTCAAATCGACGAGACATGGCGGAATTAACGGCGATAGTATGTGAGACCTACGTGGACACGATGCCGTGAACAAGAATGACTGCATGAACTGGCTCCTCCTCACCGCGCCTCGACACCTCGCTTGCTGACTGTTTCGAAAACCGAGGGCTCTTTGAAGAGCTCGATATCTCGTCGACAACATCCATGCTTCCTGTCTCTTGCCCTTGAGCTTTTACTACCTGCTTCCGGTCTTTAATACCTAGCCAACCACTATTCTGCCTGCATTGGGAATTTGCCGTGCATCTTAGTAAGCAGTGCTGTGCTCCGGACAAAAGGGACACTCTCAGTAAGCAGTGCTGTGCTCCAGTAGAACGAGGCAGGCTCAGTAAGCAGTGAGCTCCAGTCAAACGAGGCACGGACCAGCAGAAATTCAACATCCTGAAAATACCCTAACCGAAGGGCCTAAGTAGGCTCGCACGCCGCTAGCCCGAGACCATCGCGACACGCTCAAATGCAAACTGATCTTCACTGAAAAGAACTGAACTGAACCGCCCTCGGCGCGCAGTGCCTAAGGCTCAAGGCAACGGTGTCGGTGCTATTCGCTTCTGCGTCAGAACGCAATTCCACTTTCATTGATATTGCCCCAGAGGGAGTCTTGGGATGGGTGATGTGCTGGCAAGCAGGTGATGTAGGGGCGGAACTCGTGTCATAACCAGCCCAAGGTGACGCGAGAAGAGAGGACCTTCAGGTGATTCGTGAGCAGTGTGGGGACCACAGAGTGTTGGCTTCGTTACGAAAGGTTACTTCGGAATTCTACACGACTTTGAGAGCACACCTTATTCTCTAAATTGCTTCACAAACCACACTCTGTGTTGGACCATATCAATAATTTATCAGCGATATTAACAGCATTTACACGAGCACTGTGGCAACAACATTCACAACAACATTCACAAAAGCCAAGGCCTTTTGGCTCTAGCTTGGCTGGAATTGCTGCCACTATTTACGGGAGTGTCTGCGCACTAAGCATCACGCTGCTCATACAAAGCTTGGCCAAGTTCTCCCGTCTCTGTTCTAGGCTTTTGATGTATTGAATAGCCATGCTTATTAAGGTGCACGTGTCCATCTTGGTGAACGACGCCCGCCTCTGCTGGCAAAACGTGGACGGAATAACGTTTTCGAGTTTGTTGAACCCAGCCCTGAAAAAGAAAAGTACAAATGTGGAAGACGATTAGCCATTTATTCGAACAGGCAACAAACACCGAGTCGCGACTTTATATGAGAAAAAACCACACTTGGCTTGATTTGTCAAGATGTTAAAAAAGAGAAAGAAAAAATCGCAGACTTACAAGATGCGGTGGCGGCGATTCTTCTCGCGCATACTTCTCGGCTGGATATTGCCGGAACTATTTCCACTCCCTTGAGAACCACGGTTAGGCGTAACGAGACGATCTGGGTTCGGCGGCGTCGGAGCAGCAGCTGTGTCGCGACAATCCGCTAAAACAGCCCGCTGCGCAGACGTTTCGTTACACCGCGAGGAAAATACTTCTATCTTGAATTGCGGAAACGCTTCTGTAGTGGTTCCGGCGACACACGACGGCACGACGGCTTGGCTCGCTGGAACAGGGTTTCCTGCCGCAATAAGCGCCTCTTTAAGCATGTGCTGGATGATAACAGCATTGTCTAATTTCGAGTCGAGACATCTCGACTTCTTGGGGCTATGGCGGTTGACGTCTTCGTCCATGCAACGTTTTTTCCCAGCTGTCGCTGTTTTTCCGTCGCTCGATTCGCACACAGCCTTCGCTGCAACGGAAATCTCTGTTAACGCTGTCATGGCCGCTTTGCCGCTCGATGATCTCGCGTGAGAAACAGGAGGCACGTCGCAGGGACTATTTTTACACGCGGGTTGCCAACGGAAGTTTTCGTACCACGGCTCGAAGTCAACGAGTTCGGGAAGGAAGCTTGCAAGAGCTTGTGACATCGTAAGAAAGGGGCTGTGGAACTGATGCTGGAAAACTTGGGGATGATCCAGAACGTGGCTGAATGCTATGGTGCTGGGGCTCCTTTTTGTAGAAAATCAGCAGCCGCTGCTGTGACAGTGGCTTGCAGGATAACTGGGGCACTTGCAGGAAGGGGAAGGGGGAGGGGAAGAAGAGGGGGGAGGAGCGAAGGGCCGGGCCAGAGGGGTGGGGGTGGGGGAGTGTGTGTGCGAGGAGGAGACTGGAATTTGGGCTTGAGGGCGCGGGTTGACTGGGAAGGAAAGATCCGCCAGACCGGCAATTCTTCCAAGCTCGTGTGACGTGACGAGGAGTCATGCATGACGCGAACCAATTACTGTACAGTATCCCACCCAACCCAACCCCCAACCTCCGGTGCGCTCACCCCCTAAGTAAATCACATCGGCGGGCAAGAGCAGGATAAAGGGGGACTGGAATCAGATGCATTTAGACACGATCGAAAGGAGGAGGGAGATTGGAGGTGATCTCTTGTCGCTTTTACAAAATTCGAACAGAACCGGATCGGCTGGCGACAGGATGCTGGATCACGTGCTACTGTAGCAGGAGAACCGATTTTTATGACAGCGCGGACCAAGGAAGTCTCTGATTCGTTGGACTGCGAGGGCATGCTTGTGCTGGATTGGGCTGAGTCGTCCTCCATAGGATGACGTGGACACAATCTAGCATCTTCTGGCTCTCACATCTCCTCTGGCGAAACAAATGGCAGGGATTTGCCGGTGCTTGTGTCCGTATCCGAAAAGGAATCAAGGGTTTTCAGCTTAGCGGGGACAGATATTTGGACCCTTCCGCTTTCAAGGTACGGACAGCGCGAAACTGCTCACAGCTTCCACAAAAGTCTGGGCTAGGGGGGGAGGGTTACTGTTCAGGGTAGAGATTCGAGCTCTCAATGAGCCACGTGGGTAGTCCTACACAGATTTCTCACTGTACATCTACAATCTCAGATTCTGCATTGCGCTTGTTTGTCTTTTCTACCGAATCCAGGCTAGCTCGTCAGCCCACTGTTCTCAAAGCTGTGTGGCCGTTGTTGTTTTTTTTTCTCGTCCAAATTACATTGCATCCGAAACCCTGAGAATATGTGCACCCTTCCTGACCGAAACAAAATAAACCCAATCGAGAAGGGGTGTGACTCGGGAGGCATCAACCCTAACAAGAAAGAGGGGTCCCGTGTTTAGGGTTGATTCCTCCCTAGAATGCGTCAGAGGGAGGCATCAACCCTAAACACCATGCCACAAGGTGTTTAGGGTTGATGCCTCGCTGACCGGATGCCTTACCGACTGGGGTTTATTGTTTTTGCTCACGTGTCCGTTGGGGTATTTCGAGTGTAATACATTGAGTAGAAACGACAAACCAGAGCAGTGGAGAATCTGTGATTTGAACACCTACTTGAGCTCTCTGTGGGAACTGGGAAACGTGGCTCATTGAGAGCTCGAGTCCCTAATCTGAACAAAAGCTCTCCCCCCTAGCACAGAATTTAGCGGAAACTGTGCGCAGAAAGCGCTACCCCTAACCTGAAAGCGGAGGGGTCGGGATACCCCTCCCTTCTAAGCTGAAAACCCGAAGTAAATCGCCGTTACACAAACTCGAAGGGCCAAATGAAAACCCTGAGATATTTCTTTTTTGCAGCACCCGTTATTCACATGGCGCTGGTACTATAGCTTTTGTAATACATAACACTGAGGCTATTTTAAAAATGCCGATGGGGATTGTCTACACGTGTGCACAACCTTCCCACCAGGTAAAATCTCGGTATGGTAATAAAAATGAAGGGAGCGCCGTTCAATGATTCTATATAGATCTCTAGGTCAATATGAGTCAATGTAATGCCCTGCCTTTATCATATTGTTATTTACAGCCACTATGACAATATTTTTTTGAAGGCTTTTGCTGTATCAAAATATTAGCACCTTATAATCGATCCTTCATTTATTGTAATATTTGGTATTTTTTTGGAAGAATTAGTGTGGCTTTATGTCAAATAGGAAAACAATGGCCTCCTGCTAGTGAAAGTGTAGATGGTAAGGTTCACAGCGAACTGCTAGTATCTGGGACTGTCTATACATATCATTACTACTAGACTGGAGGCTTACCACCATTACACTGGCGCCACTCCCTCGTCAGTGTCACATTCCGGCCCTCTCGTACTCAACTCCCCAGCCCCTTCCGCCACTTGCCCCAGCTCTCCGCATGCCTTGCCCCAACTCCTCTGCCACCATCCCTCCGCCACTCCCCATCCCTCCCCTTTTACCTCACTTGTCCCCATTTCCCCGGTGTTCCTTCTGTCCCCGTTTTCCCCACTTCCCCCCCAACCCCTCAACTCCATGCTCTTTCTAGTCTGCCCTAATCCGCTGCGATATCTCCTTTTTTCCCTCCTCTTCCATCTCCCAATCCCCGCTGCGAAGTAGCAGCAGTTTAGCAGCAGCAGCAGAACAGAGTGCCTGCGAGGCGATTAAGGCCGAAGCGCGTCAAGATGGTGCAGCCGCTTGTGAAGCCGAAGATCGTGAAGAAGAAGACTAACAAGTTCTGGCGGCCCCAATCCGACAGGAAAAAATGCGTGCCCGTGAGTCATTTTTATCGGAGGGTGATGCGGACACCCGTTGCTTACGCTTCGACTTTCCAGTACTGCACCACAGATTCAGGAACCGAAGCAACATGTTTATCTCGCTAGACTAACCGATTGAACCCGACAAGTGGAGTATTTCAGACCAGGATTTCAGACCAGGACGATCGAAGCTGCTCGTATGCTCGATTTGACGCGGGCCGTCTAGCTCGTACTCGTGGCAGAACGGGGTTCGTCACATGTCGCTTTCTTGTGCCGTGCTCGGGCAGCTGCGTCGAAATTATGGAAGCGAGCCTCGTCTAGATTTGGCTAGGAAAGCTTGCACTGTTACGAAGTGTCGTGCCTCGTTTGGGGGTTCGAAAGGTGTTTCTTATGGGTGCCGTGCTCAGGCCGCTGCTTCGAAGTTATGAAAGCGATCCTCGTCTAGATTTGCGGGAGAAGCCTGCACGCTTAAGACGTTGCCGCTGGGGGGATGCATTGTCAGGAGCAGTGCGATTTGATCACCCGTGGTCCAGGATTTGGAGCTTGAAAGAGGGTGCTGGTAGTGTAGCTTCGGAGGGTTGCGACGTTGTATTTGTATATGCGAAGTTGTTTTAGTTGTATTAGTAGCTCCCTACTAGCGAATCAGAGCAGCTCGCGGCCCGTTGGATGTTGAGCAGCGCTTGGACGGGTTTCATATATTTTACACGCAGGCTGACGCTCAGAAACCCGTGTGGTTTTCAGATTTTGCCGTAAGGAAGAAGCCAGTAGACTAGTAGTAGATTCTTATCGACGAGCTAGGCGGTACGGACGCGAGTCTGCCAATGCTGTGATAGATTTGACGAGTTGATCGGTTTACGCCGATCACTTATATCCTGTGCCAGTATTCCAGCTGTCTCGGCTCCTGCGAGCCTTTTGCTGACTCAGTATCCAGTTACCATATCTGCCTGACAGTGTTCTAGGAAAGTATAGTACCCTCACCATTTCGTTCCTCCTTCCCCTTTTCATCAGCCTTCATCATTTCCCACATCATCCCTTCCCTCCGGCGTGCCCTCCCGTCATGATTCCCTCGTTCCTCCTCCCTCCGCCCCACTCTTTCCCGCCCGTGCCCCACCCTCCCCTCCTCTTTTCGTCCCGTCGCCCTTCCTCTGTCCCCTTCTCCCTCTCCCTTCTCCGCCCTTCCTCGTCTTCTCCTTGCGTCCTCATTCTCCTCGACTTCTCATTCCCCTCGCTTCCCCATTCTCCCCGCCTCCGTTTTCTCATCCTCGCTTCCTTATTCCCTGTCTTGCTCCCTTATTCTCCTCAACCCCCTCCCCAGCGTCCTCTCCTCTCTTGCACAGCATATCCTTCATTCATTACTGCCTCGTCCTCTCATCCTCTCTCGGCGCTCCCCTCCCTCCTATCGCGGGCTCCGCCGCACCCCCGTTACCAAACCCTTTAACAAGTTGGCCCAACGGTACCAACTCGCGCGAGTTCAAGAGCTCGCCGCTGATGACTTCCTTTTTATCCTTCCGCTCATCTCCTCCTTTCGATCCCCGGCGGTCTTTCTTCCCCCTCTCGCCCTCTTTCCCCCCCTTCCCACATCCCCCTTCCCCTCAACAGGAGAGCTGGCGGAGGCCCAAGGGTATTGACTCGCGCGTTCGGCGCAAGTTCAAGGGCACGCCGCTGATGCCCAACATCGGTTACGGCAGCAACAAGAAGACCCGGCACATGCTGCGCAGCGGGTTCCAGGTGTTCCGCGTGCACAACGAGAGGGACGTGGAGCTCCTGCTCATGCACAACAGGTACAGTAATTTACTGTAGGTTACCCTTTATAATCTAGTCAGGGTATCGGGGGACTTTTGAGTCGACTCAAAACTCACCCCGCTGTGCACAATAAGATCGACGTGCAATTCCAGCTATGCAATGCAAGGACCGTATTTCGCTGCATTTCGCAGACGAATGTACGATACTTCATTCGTCAAAACTCTTGATCAGCTCCTTCTACCTCTCCCTCTCCCCCTTTTCCTGCCAATTCCATTCCCCCCTGCCGCCTCCATCCCCGTCTCCTCTCCCCCCGCCCCTTTTCTCCCTTCTGCACCCCAGCCTCGGCCTCCTCTCTCTTCCATTGTCCTACCCTTCCTCTTTCGCGTGCCTCTTTCCATCGCATCCTCTTGCATATCCATGGTGACTTTTGAGTCGACTCAAAAGTCTTTCGCGCGCCTCTTTTCATCGCATCTTCTTGCGTATCCATCACATCCCGAGGGGTTCGTGACGTTTTTATTCGTTTCCCAAGGTTACGCTAGTGCGATGCCACTGTAGAATCTCCCCTTCTACAACCGATCGCCCCCCTATCGGTCCCCCCCATCGCCCCCCGATCGCCCCCCTATCAGCCTCCTATCATCCCCTTATCACCCCCTTTTTCGCTCCCCTATCGCCCCCTTATCGCGCCTATATCGCCCTATCGCCCACCTATCTCCTAGTGTTTACATTTACGCTTCTCGTGCCTCTTGAGTCGACTCAAACGACATGTCCACTCAAAAAGTTGGCTGTAGTGCGTAGTCAGTCCGCGAGAGGGAACTTCTGAGGCGCCACAATGGAATTTGGGCGCCTCGAAAAACATCCTGTACTGGTTCGCTGCAGTGCCTGTCAGTCGAAGCCACAGTAGAGTCCCCTACCGCCCAGGTATTCCCTAGAGCAAACGGTTAGGGGCCTGATTTTTTCAAGTGCACTAATGTTCATGTCCTGGTTCGCTGCAGGGCCTGCCACGGTAAAGTCCCCTACCACCCAGCTGTCCCCTAGTGCAAACCGTTAGGGTTGAACGTTTCATAAGTGCACTAAAACGTCATGTCGTGGTTTGCAGTAGTGCCATGTCAGTCCGCTAGTGCGAAGCTACTGTAGAGCCTCCTTTTTCCATATTATCGCCTCAGCGTGTTTAGGGTTCGGGTTTCGAGTGTTCCCATCCTTCCTGCAAAACCCCACCGTCCCCACCACCCCATTCTTGTCTGCGCCCTCTTTCAGTCTAGGCACTCATAACACCGTCCAGCTTTACTGCCTTCTAACCGTCCGTTCTTCTGTCCCTGCTGCTCTCCCTGCTTGTTGTGAAAGTCCATGGCTCAGATTGCAATGCATCCCCATAGAGACGATTTGAAGACGTTTTTATAACAAGCCACGTCCCTGCCTGTGTCGCTGTTACCAACCATTGCAGGAAGTACGTGGCTCAGATCGCGTCTGCCGTCTCAACGCGCAAGCGCAAGGCTATCGTGGAGAGGGCGCAGCAGCTGGATGTTAAGGTGATCAACGGCAACGCTCGCCTGCGCAGCACTGAGGACGAATAGACTCGACACTGTTGTCTTGATTCGTGCTAGCTTGCAATGCATGCTTGTCGATGTGTATGCTCCAGAGTTGCTTGTAACTTCAGTTTTGTTACAAGTTTCTGTATCTGTCACAGGCAAAGTCCCAAGAAAGGCTGTGGATGGCAACACAACAGGTACCTGATGAGGTATTTTCTAGTTGAAAAAATTGCTAACAGGAGATGGAATCTTGCTAGAAGCTAACGCGCGTCTGCGCAGGAGCGTGGATGCAATCACGCGCGCGCATAAGCGACCTCGTTACCTAAACCCTCGTTATACTGAATTTCACCAATTGTACGATCTTGAGGGCAATAACGTAAGTGCGTAAAATGACAGCATGTGAATGTAAACAAATCCGTAACTGCAGAATACCAAGTCACTAGGGTAACGACGCAATGATAAATTCAGGGGATTTGATTTGCCCTGCAAACAGCCAATTGAATGCGGTAGTTCCCTCCCAATGCTTCTATGTCAATGGTCCTTCACACAGAATGACTGGGCCAAATCTGACCATATTCATTGTATTCTTCTCATGCCACGTGTATTGACACCATCCCACATCACATGCCTTATGCCAAGGGTCACGATGCCAGACGATATGCCTGATGCGAGGTCACCAGCTGTAACGTCAAGATTCTTATGCCTCGTCGTGTCAGGTCAACAGTGTCATGATCCTCGGCACTGTTTCAACTGCACACATTACGAGGTGTGGCGACACAATGGGGAGTGACATCATTACAAGGTGTAGCAAGCAGCACAACAGGGTGTTGCATCGTCACAAGGTAAGACTTGAGAGAGCAGGAGTTTCGAGCCAGCTCAAAACTCGAGTTACAATCCTCGGCAATTGCACAGGATCCGAGGTGTGGCAACACAACAGGGAGTCACATCACAAAAAGGTAAGGCTGCAAAGCAGGAAGGCAGACGGCCTTTCATGTGAAAAAGGCAGAGCATAGACAAGGCATATGCATCCGTTTGAGCACGCAACAGAACGCCTGCCTGTTTGATTTGCCCCCCTAGTCTCACCTCGTCTGGGCTGAAGTGCAGTATCATGCCGATCACAGGAATGAGGGTCGCCCTTTGAAAGGGTGTACGGACAGAGTGAGAGAGCGAGGGAACAAGGCCTCTAAAGGAGTGCCGGCTGGCCTAGGCTCACCTCGTCTGGGCTGAACTGCAGTATCATGCCGATCACAGGGATGAGGGTTGCCCTCTGGTCTGATTGGAGGGAAGAAGGGGCGGGAGGCAGAGGGAGCAAAGGGAGCAGAGGGACAGGGCACAGAGGAGGGAGGGGAGAAGGATGGGGAGGGGAGCAGGGTAGGAAGGGGGGTGAGATGGGGGCAAGAAGGGAGCAAGTTGTCTGGGCTGAAGTCACGTGTAAACACAAGTGTTTTGAGACGTCTCAAAACACTTCTGTTAACAAGTTGTCTGGGCTGAACTACAGCAGCATGCTGACCACAAAAACGAGCATCGCATTATTGTCTGATGGTGGAAACAGGCGTGAGAGGGAAAGAGGGAGAAAGGGGCAGGGCCCAGAGTGGGGAAAGCAGGGTGTAGGGTAGGGTGGGTAGGTGGATAACATGGGGCAAGAGGGGAGCAAGTTTTCTCGGCTGAACTACAGTAGAATGTTGATATCAGGAATAAGTGTTGCCCTCTGGTCGGATTGTCAGGCAGAGAGGGAGACAGGTAGCAGAGAAAGGAGCTGGAGAGATGGAACAGAAGTAACTATTTTGTTGTCAAATGAAGTGAGCAATAAAGCGAGCAAAGAAATAAAGTATCGGTTGTATCTCAACAGGGATGGCGTGGGATGCCTTGTGTGATTGCAAAATCATACCTGTTCAGATAAGCACTTGTACCTGTTCTGATAAGCAGCTGCAGAATCACGTTCTTCAGATAAGTCATGTCCACCGTCTCTCTCTTCTGCGCTCTCTCCATGTTCCTCAGCTCCTCCTTCAAGACAGATTCCTGTAGTCGAGGAAAGGGAGGAGGAAGGGAGAAGAGAAAATGGGAGTAGGAGGGGTGTTGCTTTTGAATCATCTCTTCTGCGCCCTCTCCATGTTCCTCAGCTCCTCCTTCAAGACGGATTCCTGGAAGATAAACATTGGGGGAAGGGAGCAGTGAGAAAGCAGGGCGGAAGGGGGGGGGTCAAATCGAATGCACTCCTCTCTTCTGCGCCCTCTCCATGTTCCTCAGCTCCTCCTTCAAGACGTATTCCTGGAAGGAGGTTGGTCAGATAAGAAAGAGGGCAGGGAGGAAGCAGGGCGTAAGAAGAAGGGTCGAATTGAATGCACTCCTCTCTCCTGCGCCCTCTCCATGTTCCTTAGCTCCTCCTTCAGTTCAGATTCCTGGAAGAGTGGAAAAGGAGGAGGGAAGGAGGGTACAGGATGGACATTCTCTCTCTTTTGCGCTCGCTCCATGCTCCTTAACTCCTCTTTCAAAACGGATTTCTGCAAGAACAAACGCGGGAAGAAAAGGAGTGAGGGAGCAGGGGAAAAGAGGGGGTTAGATGCATTAACTCCTCCTCTCTCCTGCGCTCTCTCCACGCCCCTCAGCTCTTTCGTCAAGATGGGTTCCTGAACGAGAAACAAGTGGGGAAGGAAAGCGGGGACATGACATGGGAGATCGGAAAAAACAGACTGTTTTGGATACCTCAATAACGACTCCAATGGAATACAGTGACGAAGGTGGGAGGTTGAGACAAAGCACCCACATGAACGCAACAGAAGGAACCACCTGAATGCAACAAGGCACCTACCTGGACGCAACAACGCACCCACCTGAATGCAACAGAGCACCCACTTGAACGCAACAGAACACCCACCCACCTGCTTGGCTCTCAGCTGATTCTCCCTCTGCAAGTCTGTGATCTCCTCCTGGTGGTGACAGGGGCAAACACAGGCATTAGATAGATGTAATTACAATCTTGTGTGTTGGAAAAACAAAAGATTCTCCCTCTGCAGGACTGTAATCTCCTCCTGGTGGTGCCTGGGGTAACGTAACACACAATAGAACATCAAAAGGCTTGTACACACAAAAGAGGTGACTTGAATGATCTCTTTCCTCGCAAAATTGCAAGCACAGGGACACAATGGGATTACGTGCAATGAATCACAGAGAGGCAGGGCTTTGGCAAGCATATCATACAGTCTCGTATCATACACGCATTTATGTATGGATATCAGCATGCATAAATTGTACATTTAGTGTATTTTGTTTGTACCTGCAGTGCCTGAATGTGCCGCCTGCACTGTGCTACCTCCTCCTCCCTTTGTGCTTGCTGCCGCGCAAGGAACTGGATGAAAGGGTGAAGGGTGCGGGAAGGATGAAAGGACAACAAAGGGGCAGACGCTTAGAAAAGGGGGGGGGAAGACTACACTATGAAAAGCGCCTGCACTGTGCTACCTCCTCCTCCCTTTGTGCTTGCTGCCGCGCAAGGAACTGGATGAACGATAAGGGTGCAGGTGGGATGGAAGGAAGACAAGGGGATAGACGCTTAGAAACAGGGGCTCAGGAAAAGGGAGATCAGAGAAACCTTTCCCTCCTCCCTGTGCTTGCTGCCGCGCAAGGAACTGGATGAACGTTAAGGGTGGGATGAAAGGTTTGAGTTGGGATGGAAGAAAGACAAGGGGCGACAGACACTTATGAACTGAGCTCAGGAAAAAAAATGATAATAAAAAATAATCCTCCTTCACATGCAACAGATCAGAGGTCAAAAGGTTTTGTGAATTCTTGAAAGCGTTGAATTGACTGTTGTGGAGATGGAAATCAGCGCAGAGGCAACCGAGGCAACAGAGGCAACCGAGGCAACCGAGGCAACCGAGGCAACCGAGGCAACCGAGGCAACCGAGGCAACCGAGGCAACCGAGGCAACCGAGGCAACCGAAGCAACAGAAGCAACAGAAGCAACAGAAGCAACAGAAGCAACAGAAGCAACAGAAGCAACAGAAGCAACAGAAGCAACAGAAGCAACAGAAGCAACAGAAGCAACAGAGGCAAGAGGGGCAGGAGAGGCAAGAGAGGCAAGGCAGCCATGAGAGGCAAGGGGCCGGCGTACCAGGATGTGTTGCTCTGCGATCGCAGCCTTCTCTGCTGGGTTGTCTGCCAACCCCATCCCCTCTGGTGGATGCAGCTAGAGCGTGGCACGGCATGACATGGCAGCAGAGACAAGAGACGCAGCAGAGGGAAGAGAGGCAGCAGACGGAAGAGACGCAGCAGAGGGAAGAGACGCAGCAGAGGGAAGAGAGGCAGCAGAGGGAAGAGAGGCAGCAGAGGGAAAAGAGGCAGCAGAGGGAAGAGAGGCAGGAGTGGCAAGGGCACGACGTACCAGTATGTGTTGCTCTGCGATCGCAGCCTTCTCTGCTGGGTTGTCTGCCAACCCCATCCCCTCTGGTGGATGCACAGAGGGCATGGCATGGGTGGGGGGGAGGAAGGGGGGGGGTAATATCAGGGAGGTAAACAGAGGTGATGGAAAAAGGAGGTGAGGACGGACAGGTGATGGATCTGTTTTTTGAGATTTCTAAAAAACGGACAGGTGATGGATGAACGACATGGAATGGAACTCACAGAAAGTTGTCTCTTCAGGAGACAGGTAATGAGAGGCGATAAACTCAGGGTGTATGGAGACGAAGTGACAAAAAAAGAAGAGTTGACCCAGACAACAAGGAAGAGGGAGGACAGAAAGCGAGGGCGAGGGGGTACGGACCGAGGGAGAGAGGCAACGCACCGAGGGAGAGAGGCAACGCACCGAGGGAGAGAGGTAGGCCGGATGAGGGTGATTTGCCAAACCCTGGATCTGACATCCGAGAACCGGGCTGCATGAGGGAGGGGATTGTGGGGGGAGGGAGTCAATGTGGAGATGGGATAGGATAGGAGGAAGATGAGATAGGGGAGAGTGGATGAGGGTGATTTGCCAAACCCTGGATCTGACATCCGAGAACCGGGCTGCAGAGTGGAGTGGAGTGTAATGCTGTGGAGTGGAGTGGAGTGGAGAG